TATATTGCTTTTTTCCTGATATTCATCTTGAAATTACTCAATGTTCAATTTTTGGATTGCCATAATGTCCTCCACTCAGGTACCTAATATCCTCATTTATAGTGTATTTGGTATTGGATTAGATTAATGGTACAGATAAAGTTAAATCATGTAAGTATGACAAAGCTTTTAACTCTTTGTTTTATTTGTTCATATCTATGTATAGAGGAGGAATATCTGCTACCCACATGATAAATTTTAATACGAAGTCCATGGAAATTGTTGAACTATAGTACCACCTTAATGTTTGCCATTATTCAAAAACCACAAATCAACTCAGAACAACTAAATGACAATAGAAGCATTTCATTTACAAATATATTCAAGCACAAGAGTTTCAAGATGCAAAAACAGATTGCAATATCTACTATCAGATCAACTGAATGGTCAGATATTAATCTTGAAGCATCCACTTACTCAGTTAGTCCCTTCGAGCTGCATATAAAAGGAGTTCGCTGTGTAAGCAGCAATACCAGAAGTCAGAGCATATATGATATGAGAACTGTGAAAAGGGCTCCTCGATTGTATGGATAAAACAAACCAACAAGTGCAATAAGATGAATATTGTATTAGTCATGAGACAAAAGTACTAGATTATATTAACAAGAATCAAGATCTTAGTAAGAGTTCTTACAACAGGAAGCACACCAAAGCAAAGATTTTTTAAGCCTTGACATGGTGCAAAGTCTAAACTCCCTAATCTTTTATAGATTTTGATTCTCTAAAAAAGAACTATTGACAAATCAAGATGAAGCAAGGGTAAAATACGGAAACACTACCACATAAACCATGTGAAAGTTATCTCTGACGTGGTCCAAACTCAGGAATCCCTAATTTATAGGAGAGATCAAAGATTATATTTGAAAACAACCATCAGCAAATCAACATTTTAAAATTATCTAATGGTAAAGGATTGGAACCAGTCGCATAACGTTATCAGGAATATTTATAATGATCATTCTGATACTCGTATTTGAACTTCTCAATAAGGGATATCATTGCTCACAAAACTCAAGGAATTACTGACAATATACAGCAGAAATTGACAACATGTACATAATGGAACGTAAAACAAAGTAAGTAAAAATAACAGGCCTAAACAGTATTAATGGAGATACCCGGGTAGAAGCTCAATGATCACTAACATTGGCTGAGAGATGTTTGAGGATACATTTATGTGTCACTGCAGCTGCCTCTGAAAAGATTGACATCAGTTCCAAAATGAATGCCTTACTTACCACTATGAAATGGGTAATCCAGTCCTTGGAAATCCTAGGGGTTTGATATGACTCGGAAGGAGACAACAGGATCAGTCAAATATCATCTTATTTCTGAAAAATCGATGAGAGGCAGAAGAAGGAAACACAGAGAAAAGTGTAGTTTCAGTTCACATGCTAGCTATCGCCTTCCGAGAAGTGGTCGTTGACTGATTTCTGCTAATAATTCTGAATTCTTATACCTTCCGCAGCAATAATCATAAATAAGGAAAATCTTAAACCAAAACTTTGGAATATGATGGTGAATAAGCGAAGTCTCTAGGCAGCAGTACTGTAGTACCGAATGAGTTCCAGCAAGGTCTACAGTGTTCACTTTGGTGAGCGTAATGCACAAGTTAAATAGCACTTTAAATTCATGAAAGTGCACGAGGAAATTGACACCATATTCCAAACTAATCACTGAATGCAGAAGTTTAGCGTAGCAGCTGAAAAGAATCGATAAATAAAAGAAACTGAGACTGTTCAATGTTACGTTTATAGTAAAACAGATCTTTTTTCTTTGAACCACTGGTTTAGAAAATAAGGCCAATTTGCAAGTTCAAAGTTCTAATGCAGTGGAAAAACATCAACCTACAGCAGAGTTGTTGAGGATTCAAATACTACTGCTTCACAAAAAAAAAAAAAAAGCCTTTAAATTCTTCTCAATAGAAAGAATCAAGCCACTGGCTGTTTGCAGGACAAAACGCATGTATTTAAGACAAAGCACTTACATGAATTACAAAAACTGGGCAATTGACCTTTTTAATTTTGTTAGAGTTCTGCATCAAAATGTAGACCAGTTAGTAGCAAAGACTGCTAACCAATCTAAGAACATGAGTAAAAAGATTGTAGTCAAATCAAGAGGCACACTCTATCAATGTTGAAGCAGAATGAGAAATTGGCATACAAACAACACAAAGTCTCGACGAATATAGCACTGTGAAGCACGCTATGCCTTGCCGTCTTGGCAAGCGAGCTGCCAAATGCAATGTGGGAGATGAATTGCCCATACTAGATCAAATTTTAGGGACCCAAAACAAGCATACATTCCATAAAGTTTCTCCAAATTATTTATAAACATTCCATACAAGATCAAATGCTATGATATATGCATGTACTTCGTAACAGGCCATTGAAAACTTGCTGATCATCAAGTAGTTACATAAACATTATGATGGACCCGTCACCACCTCCCAGCCTAATAAAATTATTGGCCCAATGATACAACAATGCTTGAGTCCAAATTATCGGTAGTAAGTTCATCTAGCCCTATAAATCATAATAACATACTCCCATTTCCATGATACTACTGTCCTGACTTGCGGCCGAGCTCAATGGTACAGCCTGCCATGAGCATACTCCCAGCCTTTTGCCCTATTCTCAAATAGTCCTTTCCTAGTTGGCTCCACTCAATATGAATTTTCTTTAGTAAAGTGGGCAAAAAATGGTCAATATGAAACCGAAAGATAGCAAAACAAATCGATGTCATAACACAGAGCATACTCCGTTCAACTGAGCATCCAAAATTAGTTTGAATTGTAAAATGCAAACTCCAGTATCCAACACAACATTTTTCTACTAAAAAATATATACTCTAGTCAGCATTTTAACTTGATCATAGACATAAAGCGTTGCCTGGTTGACAGTTATCAAGGATAAGTTCTTCCACAAAACAATACAAGAAAAGGATAATGTTATTTCAAGAACAAATTGAAGCCCTAAAACTCAATCCATTGTTCGCTGAAAAAAGAAAGCTAAAACTACAAAGAGGGAAGGCACAATTAGGATGCGATAAGCAAAAGGGAAGCAGTAAAGAAACTTGGCATCAGCACGGTCAAAATTGTAAGCGAATGGGGGCAATAAGCGGTAAAAAGAACAAAATTTCTTTTCATCTTTCGTTCACCTTGAATTGGACGCGCAATTGGGAATTAACACTAAAGAAATCCCAGAAAGTGATTGCGGATGGAGTAAGATACCCCCCAAGTACTGCAAAACCCATTCCTAACACCCCTCGGCTAAGATGAAGATGAAGGCGGCTACGGACAAAGGTCGTAGTAGGTCCGACAAATAGTCTCTTTGCATAAGAATGGATAGGAATATCTCAAAATTAATTTTTTTTAAAAAATTTACTATATATACATATATATATATATATATATATATATACACATATATATATCCCAATTAAAATCCCAATTAAAACTTGAGTTCCATTTTTTTTCTTTTCTTAATTAAAACACATCAAAATCATTTTCCCTTTAGAATCTCATATATATATATATATATATATATATATATATATATATATAT